TGACATGGTCTTTGGCAGATCTGATGACATCATTGTCATTGTCTCCACAGCCTCCTTTACCCAGGCTTCCTATTTTACCTCCCACCTCCTAAGAATCTTGCATCATTTTCCCATGTCATGGAAGGATTTATACCTGATATTTGACCTTACATTAACATTGTTCTGCTCCATTGTGGGAAGGTAAGTTGGCATTGCCAGGCTTGATACTGAGTACTGCCTTTACAAGGCCAGAGCCACGGGACTTCTCTATGACCAAGGCCCACCTCGGGGGTCAGGCTTACAAGCAAACCTTGATCATCATGGATCTCTTGACGACAGTCACTGATGCAGTGTGAAGTAATGGTCAGTGTAGTGTCTCAACTGATTTCCAGGATACCTTTCACTAGGGAGCAACTCACTGATTTGGCAAGAGAAAATGAACTCAACAGGAACTCCAGGGTACTAATCTGTGTGAATCATGCACCTGAAGGTAAGATTGAGTACAGTAAGTATCTGTTGGTGGTAGAAGATGAGTCTTTGAAGCCTGGTCTTGATGTGCTGAAAACGATCCCATGAAGTGCCCTGTGCCAGGATCCATGACACACAGGAAAGTTATCATTGATTTGCTAAACTGAAGAGCAATAGGAGACTGAGAGACTGCAGAGGTGTGACAAGGGAGGAACCAGCTTCTCTGCTGTAGTTGGCCTCCAGCTCCATTCTGATCATCTGATCCTGGGCTGTTAACAAACACTGATGCATATTACAGGCTTTGACCAGATCTTCCCAACAGGATTATAGCCAGCTTGTACTGTCACTTATTTTTAGATCCCTCATCGTCTGGTGAGTCCCATGTACACACAACAGGACCCAGTCAGTTTGATCAGGGAGAGAGAGAAATTTTCAGTTTGTGGGTATCACCTGGTGTCAGGCTATGTCTCTGTGGCACATCAGTGAAGGCAGAGTTTTAGACATGGTTGAGGAGTCTGTTGTATTCTGGAAATGAGATAGGGAAATTTCCTGAATCCTCATATTATAGTAATTTTTTTTGGAGATTGGGTCTCACCATATAGCCCTGTCTCCCCTGAGAGACTCTGTGTAGAACATGCAGTTCTCAAACTCACAGTGATGGACCCCCTTCTCTGCTTCTTGAGAGCAGCGTTTACAGATGTGGACTCCTATGCCTGTCTTCAAGTGCTGGATAGCATCCATGGTAAATTCCTGCAAACATTTGAGGCAGAAGGAGACAATTCTGTGCTTCTTTCATCCTGACAGGGTCAGGGATTGAACTGAAGGTTCTGTCATCCTGGATAGACTACAAACAGCAGCAAATTCCAATTCTAACCTTCAGAATAGAAGTCCATGTCCACCAGTCAACAGGTACCTGCAGGTGAGAACTGCTGTCATGAATTCTTTTGCGGACCCCATTCGGTGGCCTGGAGGAGGTATTCCTAGCTGATGTATCCTTGGAAACAAGGCACAGAGCATACAAAGGCTACTCTCTAATTCTTTTCTCAGGATTCCCACTGCAGTCCAGGCACACATCCCATGACTTCAACCTGACCAATCAGGAGAGTCCAGATTGGCTACTTGGTCTGATGGATTGAGTTCTTGCCATTTGAGCCATGAGATCACAGCTGAGGACTCAAGGTGGGTCACTGAGACAGCTGGTGCCTGTCTTTGGATGTTGAAGGCAGGGCTTTCACTTTAAGGACACCAGTGGCAGAGGCAGTGCACGGAACCACATAGTCTGCATAGGAGCTTCCAGTTCTACTCATCTTGCCCCCAGATTCTGTCTGCTTGGCTGCTGACGTCCATGGTTAGTCTTACCCATGGGTCCCAGAGAGCTTTTGTTACTTGTCAAAACCACTTTGAACTGTGTTTTATGGCAATCAACCTTGTTCATACTCCCAGGTAATTGAGAGCCCAGGCCTGAATGTTTCTTAATTCAGATCTAACTAGGATTCTGTGCACCCACTCTTGACATTCTGTGATGGGAGAAGTGATCAGCCCTCCCAAGAACATTGTGGACCATGCCAAGAAGACCACTGTCCCAGTGTTTTGTTGTTTATCTTACGGCCCCTACGATCCTCCAGATGTTGTATATGAAAGAAGACAGTGATATTTGTCCTTTGGGACACACCTGTCATACACAACACAGTCATCCTCAGTTGTATCTGTTTTCTGAAAAATATCTAAATTTCATTGTTGAGGGTGAGTATGTGCCCTTGCCCTGTATGCTCTTCCTCTATTACTTATTATTTCTCTATTTGTTTACTCATTATTCACTTATGCATTCATTCTATGTCTTTTATATCTGGAAACTGGATCACTTCACATACTTCCTCAATCACTACACCTGTACCAATAAAACAATATTTAAGAGAAAAAAAGGAAAAGTAAGAGAATATTAAAAGGAGGAGACATGAAGATCTCCTGAGGAAGCTGCAGTGACCGAGTGTGACAGAGAGAGTCACACTGTGACATCTGTCCACAGATCTTCACCTGTCAGTGCTCATTGCACAGTCACTGGTCTGCTTCCAAGCCCTGGGTTTCTACTCCACTAATTTTGTATTTGATAGACCTCGTGTTTCTACTCCACTAATTTTGTATTTGATACTGTCGTCTGTCCTTTGCAATGGGCACATTAACTTGTTTCACAGTATGGGAATGCAAATTTAAAACTCTGACTTCAAAATCACCTGAGCCACAGTACAAATCTGCTTCTAAACAAAGAGACAAAGTTGATCTGGAGATGGAGAGCAGAAGATGAAAGCCAGAGGTGGCAGAGTCAGCAGGAAGAATTGACTAAGGGAGGAATTTGGATAGGATAAGAGAGAGCAGGGTAGCCATGAGGAGAGGGATGCACAGTAGGTCTAGCTTAAGTGCTGCATATTTCAAGTTCCCATAGAGTCCCTTTCACATGTCCTTTCTCTTTAAAGTGATGAGCTCTATACATCAGGAGACACATGGTGGCGATCTGAGGTGTGGCCTAGGACAGAGAAAGCAGGAGCTCTGCAGGAAGTCCAGATGGCAGTGTGCCCACTTCCCCAGCATAGAGGGTCTCTGTCCAGCACAGAAGGTAAGCCAACTACCACAGGATTCTCTCCAGGAATCCTTGGTTATTAAGGAAATATGTCCCAGGGCTGGTATTTCACAGCATCCATGTCTGAGGGTGTCATGAGCCAGTACTAGGTACAAGCTACCTATGACTGTGCACAACCTGTGAACCAGTCTGCAGGGGAATAACTACCAGTTCTCATTAATCTGTCTGCCTTAGGGTGTGTGGTCCTAGTGAAATGTTTTCCCACGTGAAGGAAAGGGAGCTCCTTCCTCTCCTTCCTCTCCCTCCTTCCCTGCTGTTGTATTTGCAGCCTTCAATTATCCCTGTGTCCTGCCCATCAGAAAAGACACAGTTCCACGGCATGCTGGTCTAGTATTTGTGTTTGTGAAGGGGCCTCACTGCAGGGAGTTTTTATCAGAACCATATTTGTCTCCCAACAGGAAAGTGACAGCAAGCTGGAGGAAAATGGGTACCACATCGGATGGAATGCAGAGAATTTGGAAGTGAGTGGGCCTTACCTAGCCTAGGACACAGTGGTCAGAGGTTGGGTCTGCATTTTAAAACTTTGTACCCAGGTCCCACTGGGTACAGTGGTCAGGCCTAGCCAGCCTTGTTGACCTTACAGCTATGTCTTTCCAACAGGCTGTCTGCTTGCTTTTCCTGCTGGGATAATTGTCTAAAGGGTTGTCAGGTGTACATGAAAGGCAGACAACGTCTCCATGCAGTGAAGGATGCCACTCTGATGGGGATGAATGTCAATGCTCATCTATGTGCAACACATGGCTGCAAACAGCACTGAGATCACTACATAACAGTCTGTAGTAGATTCTTAGTTTTTGGTTTCTGGTAGAAACTTGTTCTGGCTTAGAGGTTAGGAAGAATCAGGATGCCCAGTCAGGTCTGCCTCAATCCCAAGGGTAGATAGTCATTGAGCTTGTGTTACAGAGGACCATAGAGAGAGAGAAAGTCATAGGTGAGTCATGGCTACAGAGGGATATTGATAAAAGTTGGTGTGGTGGCAATCTTCCCTCTCTGTTCCTAACAAAATGAGGAGAAACAGTTTGAATCAAAGATGGTGAACATCTTTGAATGAGACAG